GCCCTCCGCGTGCGACAAGGGCGTACCCCCTCTGCGGTTCGAGCACGGACCTCAGGAGCTCCCGAGCCTTGGTCGGCTCCACCTGCAGCCGGATCGCAAGGGCCTCCTCGATCTCGCCGCAGGTGCTGGGCTTCTGTTCGGAAGGGTGGTACTGCACGAGGCAGTCCCTCACGAAGATCCCGGGCTCGCTGTCCGGCACATCCGCGGGGGAGCGGCCGAAGTTCAGCAGGTCCTGCACCATGCCGATCGTCCTGCTGCGCCGGGGTTCGATGGTCGCTGCGGGGAAACGGCTTCGCGGAGAGCCACAGCACGCGCATCAGGAACCAGAACTCGGGAAAGTAGGACTTGATGTTCTCCTTCACGGAGCTGTCCTTCTTGCTCTGGTTTGGCCCATGCGGCTGGTCCACAAACTCGACCTGGAAGGGCAGGCCGGTCAACCGGCGACGATCCGCGCCCTTCCACTCCTCGTCGGACCTCCAAAGCCCGTTGGCGCAGATCATCAGCATGCCGTGGAACTTGAAGACGTTCTCGCCCTTGAACTTCCTCGCCGCGGTCAAGTTGTTGCCCCCGCTGATCTGACGCAGCACGGCGCCGGACAGGTCCTGGGGGGGCTTGTTTTCGTCCACGAACGCCAGCTTGCACCCCTCGAGGTTCGCAAGCTGCTCGCGGGGCTTCTCGGTCTTCTGGACGATCAACGCCTCCTGCGTCATGACCGCCACGTATCCCCGCTGGCTCCGCCGTTGAAGGGGCCCAGGCACTCCTCGCACAGCTCCCGCGTGCCCTTCCCTGGCGAGCCCTGGCCGTCATGGAGGTAGCTGGCAAACTCCACCACCGGCTCGCCCACCAGGCGGTACTGGAAGATGGCAGCGTCCCAGTCGTTGTGGGCCTCGTAGATGATCTTCCGGAATGCGGGGTGGTTGTGAGAGCAGGCCTCCAGCCGCGCCGTCACGTGCTCGGGGAGGCACATGACGGGCGTGGGGCCCTCGGGGGCCGCGATGGCCTCCTGGTCCTTCAACGCCTCCAGCACGGCCCTGGCGAGCTCCATTTAGGGGACCACATTAGTCCAGCCTCCCCTCCCAGAAAATTCGCCTCAGATGTTCTCCAAAGAGAATCTTCGCTCCACCCATGTCGGCTGGCCCAAAATCCTGTCCGGCGGGCCTTGAAATTTTCGGGGTTCGTCGGCGTCCAGCCTCCATGGGTCCATTTTTGTCGAAAATGTGAAAAGCATGACCTCCTCCTAACCAGACGTGTCTGACTGGGCTCAGGCCCAGCCCAACCAGCAACCCGCCTGCTGGCCAGGCCTCAGGCCCAAGCTTGTCTGAAACAGGCCTAGCCCAACCAGCAACGCCTGAGGCTGGGTGGCGAGTTGCTGGCTGGGCTGGGCCTGAGGCCAGTCGCAGACACGTACCAGCAGGCGGGCTGAGGGACTGGGCCTGAGGCTAGTCTCAGGCTGGCACTTTGAGACCAGTCTCAGACTGGCAGCCTGAGGCCAGTCTCAGACACGTTAGACAAACCTGACCTGGCCTAAGCCGGGAGCTGGGGACCGGCCTAGTGGCTGGCATGCTCTGAGATGCGCCGGGGCCTAGGCTGGGCAGGCTGGGCTGGGCTTGCTGCTTGCCAATCCAGCAACCCAGCTCAGCCCAGCCCGAGTTCCAAGCGCAACCAGCAGCGTAGTCCGGCTGCCCGGCAGCCAGCAACCCACGCAGCCTTGTGGCTGAGACAGCAGGCTCAGCCCAGCGTGCCAGGTCAGGTTTGTCTAACGTGTCTGAGACTGGCCTCAGGCCAACGACCAGTCTCACGTGTCTCAAACTGGTCTCAAGCGCCAGCTACTAAGCCTGTCTGCCGTGCCCCAGCAAGCAGCTCAGCCCAGGCTGGCCTTGACCTCCTGCTCCAGCCAGCAACTCGCTACCCAGCCTCAGGCCCAAGTGTGTATGAGACAGGCCTTGCCCATCCAGCGACCCGCCCAAGCACAGCTCAGCCCAGCCGAAGTTCCAGGCGCACCAACAGCGTAGTCCGGCTACCCTGCAGCCAGCAACTGAGCTTCGGGCCCAGCCCAGTGTCTAGCCCAGCCCGTCCGCCTGCTGGCCAGGCCTGTCTGACGTGTCTGAAACTGGCCTCAGGCCCAGCCCAGCCATAGCCCAGCCCCCTCAGTGCGGCTGCCCAGCCCGCCGTAAACTAGCTTCAGGCCCAGCTCAACCAACAACCCATGCAAGCAAGGACCAGCCAAGCTGCCCGAGACTGTCCGAGCAGGACGGCTTCCGAACATCGAACTAGCACGGGCGAACTGGTGCGGTCACAAGCTTTCAGTAGGATTCGGACCTTCCCAACACTGGATTTCGGTGTTCCTGACCCTTCCCTCAAACTAGGCTGGGCCGAGGCGGGCAACGCGAAGCGTTTACAATAAACTATCAGTTGCTTTACTCAAAAGCATTCCCCTTTCAATTGGTGGCCCACGTGCTTAAACGCATCCCCTTTCAATTGCTGGCCCACTTGCTTAAAAGCATCCCCTTTCAATTGGTGATCCACTTGCTTAAAAGCATTCCCCTTTCCATTGGTTACTCAACCACAGAACCCAAAGCTCGCTGAAACCTCTGAAATTTGAAAACCATCCCCAGCCCGGAAACTGCAAACTCTTTATTAAACCGGCTTGAAAAAGGGGAAAAACAATCAGGACAAGGGTGCCCCTCACAGACGCCACTGAACCACAATAATGTCATTCTTTTAAACTTTTAGGGGACCACATTAGTTGCAAGCCCCCAGCCTCCCCTCCCAGAAAATAAACTATCAGTTGCTTTTCAGTTGCTTTACTCAAAAGCATTCCCCTTTCAATTGGTGGCCCACTTGCCTTTCAATTGGTGGCCCGCTTGCTTAAAAGCATTCCCCTTTCAATTGGTGGCCCACTTGCTTAGAAGCATTCCCCTTTCAATTGGTTGCTCAACCACAGAACCCAAAGCCAGCTGAAACCTCTGAAATTTGAAAACCATCCCAGCCCTGAAGCTGCAAACTCTTTATAAACCGGGTTAAACAGTCTGCTCAGGAAGAAGTGGTTGCAATGCTAAAGTTAAAGTAGAATTGCAAAAAGGAAGCGGCTGCAACACTAAAGTAGAATTGGGCCCCAAAATCCTCCATTGTTTGGGCGTCCCAAAAGTGAGCCTACTTTACTCCAGCGCCTCCATTGTTGCGGGGGGGGGGGGGGGCCTTTATTAATCAAGTGCCAACATTATTCTTGTTTGCTCGCTGATCGGGCCTGAAAAAAGCCTGAACTTCAACGCAAAACAGCTTTTTACGCAAATGGACCCTGTGCGTTGGCAATTTTGGCAGCAAAGCAGCTTTCTCAAATTAGCCATGGGATTGGTCAAGTTTCAGCCACGAAACACTTTTTTGGCGCAAATCAAGCAATTGATTTAGCAAGTTCGGCCACAAAACACATGTTTCCTGAAAATCGACCATGTGATTTGGCAAACTCGGCCTTGCGCGGCAAGTTTGGGGCTTTTTAGCTTAAACCATCTTAAGCCCGAAAACGATAGGTGAATAAAAGGATATAGAAACCCTCAGTCATGTACTCGTCCACCAAGAGAACACTCGGACGAGCCGTCAGACTCTTCCAGGAAGTGCTGCCCGCAATTTTGCACAACATACTTGTTGCGCAAACAACTGCTTCTAGTTTCAGAAAGGCGTCCTTCTGAGCCTCCGCAATCTGTGGATACACTACACGTTGCAGATGCATGCGCCGAAGCGCGAGCAGTTGACAGGCCTGCGACAACATCTGATGTTGCAAGAAGGAACTACTCTCATGCCACCGTTGCATAAGATACTTGAGCTCGTGGTCTATATTTTGATAGAGGCCTCTGCAGGCACGCAGTACATCCTGCGCAACTTGCTCAAGGAATTCCTCATGGATCATGGAGGCTCAGATTTTGACTTGCTCGCGCACACCCCCCAACCCCCCACCCCCCACCCCACCCCCCGCTCCCCCCCGCCCCCCACCCCCCCCCCGACTCCCCAATCACAGTGGTTGGTGATAGTAAAGAGCCCATACAACAACCAAACAGTCAAGCAAGCAAGCAAACAAACAAAAGCAAACAAGCGATCAAACAAAGCAAGTCAAGCAAGCAAACCAACAACCTTCCCGGTGTGGGTCGGTAGGCGTTTCCTTGTACGGATCTATTTCAAAAGTGTTGCGGAACCAACAAGACTGTCCAAGACCTTAGAAGGCGATGCCAGCGAAGCTTCCTTACTTTTTCAGGCTCAAAGCCCCTACCACCCCCCACCCACCACCCCCCACCCCCACCACCCAACCCACCCCCCAACCCCCACCCCCACCCCCCAACCCCCAACCCCCCACCCCCCCCACCCCCCACCCACCCCACCCACTCCCCCCACCCCACACCCCACACCCCACACCCCACCACCCCACACCCACACCCACACCCACACCCCACCCCACAAGAGGAAAACGTTCTTTCTTTCTTTCTTTTTTTTGGGGGGGGGGAGAATCTTCTGTTGCGACACTCCCCGTTGTACTGCGACAATATGGTGTGATCCATTGTATGTAACCTGTTTTTGTTCATGGCTTAGGTTCAAAATGTGGCTACAAAAGTCAGGGTGTATTTTGCACCCACCTTTAGAATGATGCTTCTGTTAGGTTTGGGCTTGCAAATAGTCTCTGAGTGCCCATAACTGATTTCAGAAATGGTGTGAGTGGTCTCTTTGGGAGCCAACAATTTGACAAATGAGCGTTGTTTTTTTGGGACTACATTCGCGCAGGCGTTTGAGAGCCGCAACCGCGTTGGCGTTCGGGCTAAACTAAGCTTCCCCCCCTTCCCCCCCCTCCCTACAAAAAAACACAGACAACAAGAATCATTGCCCTTACAAGCCCAAAAGCAACTTCCCCCCCCCTTCCTTCCCCCCTTCCTTCCCCCCTTCCTTCCCCCCCTTCCTTCCCCCCCTTCCTTCCCCCCCCCCCCGGCAAAACGAGCCCTGGCCGAAGGAAGCGGCGCCTTGCGCTCCGCGGCGTCCAAGCCCTCGAGCTGCATCTCGTGGGCCGGCGGAGCCCCGGCCTGGATCGATCGGGCGGCTGGGCGGCTCGTCTTTTGAGGACTCGGACCCCTGTTTGGTGGGCTTTTCAGGGAGACCAAGAGGAAAACCCATTTTGACACCACACGGAGTTTCGGTTTTCCCTTTTGGTCTTCCTTCAAACAAAAATCGCAAAAAGGGGGTACCAACTCCAAAAAAGACCATCAGAAGGCGAGAGAACACCTGTGACTTTTCCAGAAAAGGCGGGGGTCAAAAGGCACACCCTGCATTCCGACTCTACATCTCTCTCCTCCTTTCTTTGAGGAGTTCTGGAGGCGACGTTTTTGGTGCTTCCCGTCCCAAAACACAAGCCATGCATTGAATAGATCTCCCCACCCAGAAAAGGTTCTTAGAACCGCAAAAGAGTCCGATTGAAGGGTTCTGAGAGCCTTTCTTTGGGTACCGATGCGGTTCCTAATGGAACGAACTCAGACGCAAGCAGCAAACATAATGCTCCACCCTCCCGCAGCTCAAGAAACTATGATACAAGTGTACAAATCAATCATAGCCACGAGTTGCTGGTTTGGGGAGAGGAATGTTATTTATGCACGCAACGGGGCAAAGCACTGTCTCTTAGTTTCCAAGTCAAGCCAAACTGCCAAACAAGTTTTGCAAAGGGGCCACTTTTCGTCGCAATTCCTCAGTGCATTGGCTAAAAAAGCCAAGTCCATATATATACTTGTTGTTTACCACATTGGTCCAGATTCAGAAAGTAGAAAGCCCGAAACGGACAGGGCTCCCTATATTTCCCCTTAAAACATCACCCCCACCAAGGGACACTCACCTTTCATGGGCCAAAAAGGTGATGTTTAAAGCCACCAAAAAGGGAAAAATCGGGAGCCCTGACGGAACTCAGGGAGTGGCGGAAAGAGAGCTCCCGCCTTGGTGGCCAAATCCTCGCCAGTCCAGAACAGCTGCCTCGCGGCCGACCAGTCAAAGAAATCGGGGCCAGACTTGGCTGCAATGGTTCTAAGACCACCCAAGGCTAACTAGTCTAGGTCCGCCGGTAGAGAGGTTGGAATAAGGGTACCAACTTTTTGCTGTAGTCTATTTTAGTAGGGGAACCCTCCAAAAATAAACATGTAAAAGGGCACTACTGGGGGACCTAGTAGTGTAGCGGTTTGGGAGCGGAAACCATCTCAGAAAGACCCCTTTTTTGGTTGGACGCCCACCATTTTGGGGGTCCCTCAACAAAAGACCGACCCAGTGTGTCTAACCCAAAGGGTCTAAAAGGGTCCAAGTACTTTCTGAGGATGGCTTTTGGGGGCTAAAAGGGGCTCCAAGTAGCTCCGTAGAAGGTACTAGGCTGAGTGCGGAAGCCCTGAAACAGCTCGCTTCCTTTGATGTCCATCCCCTTTTCACCAACTCCAAAACGGGTATACTCCAAAGACAAGAGAACAGCCACTCGCTTGCTCCAAGCCTGCTCAACACAAAACAAACTCCGCCCGTGTCCGTGCAGATCGCCGTGTGGCTATGCCTTGCCCGTGCGAAATTTGAAGTTGGGTCTGTCTTTCGTTGAGTCGGTACCCTACCCTTCTTGGGGTTGGTTGGAGCCAGGCCCAGCGGACGGATACTCGACCGCCCATTTTAAGGCGGAGCTGAAGCGGTTCATCCCCGTTTCAGAAAGCTCGGCCCGGCGGCTTCGCATACCGACTCCAAAGACCCGCGGTTTCCAGGGAATCTTTGGGAAAACCCGGGCTTTCCCGTGTACACACCTCCTTAGTAGAGGGTGGACCTGGTACCCTGCAAAAAAAAGCCGGAGATTTGGAGCGATTGCGGGTAGGAACCAACAAAGAGAGCGAGCGCGCTGTGCGCGCCCATCTGGGAGCCCCCGCCACTGGAGCCAGTCCTGCGATTAAGGTGGCAGTGGGGTGCACTCGGTTGCCCCGTACGGAACCCAGGAACGGGCTGTGGTTGAAATGGAATCCAGGAATCTGTGATACAACAGAAAGGACACCCCCAAAGAATAACCCCCCTTTGTTTCAGGGGGAGACTCCCAAACGTATCACAGAAGTGGGGAATGATAAACCCCTTGAGGAACAATAGGTTCACCTTTTGGGGCCATGACTGCAAATAAGGTTGATGTTTACTCAGCTGCCCAAAAAAGCCAGGAACAATGGGTTTACCGTTTGGGTGCTATGACTACAAATGAGGTCGATTCGCTTTGGGCTTGCGGGAGTTTATCGAACGAACATAACTCCCCCTTGCAGCAAGGCATGAACCTCACGATCGGGCCGATCAACTGGCCACCACAAAACGAAAGTCCATCCTGCGGACTCTGGAGGCTTTGGGAACCCCCATGGCCGTGTTTCCTTTTAGGAAACCCCTTCAAAGCCCCGTAGACTGGTCGTGCTTTTGTAGACTCCTGGCCGGAAAAATGTACCTTTTGATCGGCGTCTGCGGATAAAATGGGTTCCACTGGCTTAGATGGATTTTGTTCCATTTTCCAAGGCCATCTATTTTACCAAAAGAACACCTTGTGGTATGCCCCCCCCAAAGGAACGAAGAATAGGTTTCCTCTTGGACTTGTCGATCAGAATCTTCCAAACAAGGGTCGCAAAAGGACCATCCGGGGGAGGACTTGAAAAGTTGAACTTGGACATTTGTAGAAAGGTAGTAATTTGCCTTTTGCCCAACAAGGACACAACGACGTGTTGGCCACTAGCCGCGTCGCTCCAGCACCAGAGTCGCTGCCATCACCCAGCTCGAGTACTCAGTCGAGTACTCGAAAGCTATCTCCATGTCTTCCAAGCCAGGCGCACACTTCGCGCCGACGCGACCTCACGCTGGGCACCGGCTTTGCCGGGCGCTGCCATTGCAACAAAACGCTGGCCGCCGATGCTACCCAACTTGGGCATGTAATTTTCATAGGACCCCCTTTGGACCTCAGACTCTGGGGCTTCATGTTAAACAACCACTTTGGAGGTGAAGCTCCAACTCTTCAAAAACTCATCGCCATTTTCGGGGGTCCAATTTCTTTGAGGCAAACCCACCGAGCCAAAAAAAGGGCATCGCGTCGGCCACCGCTCCAATGCTTTCCACTTCCCCCGCCGGTCACGTCACCCGCCTCGGAGTTGGATCTGCTGCCAAAGGCGACATCGGCCACGCCCTCCAGCTTGGCGATGAGCTCCTCGAAGTTGGGCGGCGTTCTTGTTTGACAACGTGGCTTGCCATTTAGAGTGGGGGTTCAGTTCTCTGAAAGAACCTACCTTGTTATTGTTCTCTTTTTTTTTGGGGGGGGGATGATTTCTTTGGGGTTGATTCTTCGGGGGGTGTATTCCTTTAAACCATTCTTTTTCAACCATGGTTCTTTTCAAAACCGAAAACGAAGGATCGCTGGAAAGAATGGGGAAGGTACCCTAGGAGTCTCCTAAGCCTACCAAACATGTTGACCTTTTTTTTGTTGGGGGGGGGTCTCAGTACTGTGCATGGGCCCGAAAACCGCTCACCTGTTGGGATTGGGGGCTCATCCTTCTATTTATCTGGGCTTCATCCACCTCCATCCGCAGTATCTCGAGGACAGAAACTTGGACCCATGGATATCGCCCGAAAAGAATTCCCATCGAGTTGGTGATAGGATTCGCGCCGCCTCACCGCCCGCTCCCCGCTTTTCTGGTTTCCCTCCAAAGAAGGCTTTCAGGACATCACCAGTTGCCAGCTTGAAGCCGTGATCCAGGATCACGGTGAAAAGTTGAAATCATAGGCGTCCTTTTCGGGGGACATAGATCTATTTTTCGACCAAAATACCTCCGTCAGCCCCTGAGTGACCCGCTTAACACCCAAATAGGTTGCAAATGCTGGGTGATACTAATGGTAGAAAAGCAACAGGATGACTTGATAGAACTTCAACTAGGTTCCTCTTCCACCCCATCCAAAGGCGGCTTGGTTAAAATTAGTAACAAACAAGGTGACGTGTGAGATCGCCACGGGACACCTGTGGATCTGCACACGTTCAAAGAACTGGGCCGAAGGACACCCAAAGGTTAGCTTTCAACGGTATGCCCAAAGGTTAGCCTATGCCTGATGGCATGAGTGTTAGCGCGGGCGTTACCTTCCCAGTGGGCATGAAGCAAAACAAGCTTTTTGGAGAAAAAAAAAAACAATAATTGAACAAGGGTTCCATGTTGATTTGCGGAGTAGCGAAGGAATTGGAACAACTTGGAGCCTGCACCATCTCAGTCCAATCGAATTTACAGTACCCATTGATCCCCCCTACCTTAACGGCGAGGGGTGTGGGGTGTTCCCCAATTCCATTGTCCTAGTTTTAATTGGAGCTACAAATCAAAATTCCCGGGGTCCCCCCGCTTTCCCCAGCTTGTGTAAGGGGGTGGGGATACCCATTGCGACTTGGGCCAGACCAGTTGGTCATTCTGTCCAAAGATACTCCAACCATCATCTATTCTCAACATAGACTACCCTTTGAAGATTTTTTTCTTGGATACTCTTCAAACAGGACCAAGGCCTGCCCAGCCCGGCGCCGTTGAACCAATCCACTGATCCACCCGCGCCTGGGATGATTCGCTGGTGGAGAGAAACTGCCAGTTCTCCCGGAAGGTCCGACGCACCTCTGAAGTCGATCCGATTCGAAGGCAGAAACTTCAGTTTCCGAGCTTCCGGTTTGGTTCCAGGTGACTAACATGACTTCCTTGGGAAACCGGGAATGAGTCCTATGGATCATATGCCACCGCTTGAAATAGTTGCAGCGGGGGACCGCTTTTTGGGTGATGCATGTTTGAAACCAGCCCCCAGGAAAGGAACCGGTGGTTCCGCAAAGATGTGGCCGTGGGTCAAAACCAATGGTACCATTTTGGGGTAGGTGAATTCACCACCCATTTTAGAACCAACTTTAGTGGGGATTGGGATGTTCACTGGGGGTACGGGGTTTTGACCCATAGCCATGTGGGAAACCAAAAGGAAGCCGTTGCCATCTTCTGCCCGTCCCCATTGCGATGCCGTCCCTTGAAAACACCCCGAAGCCAAAAGGCACACGGCCGGCCTACCACAGCTGACTTCTGAACCAGCGTCTTTCTTGGTCGGGAAATCTGGTGAGTCCCCCGCCCTTTCCCCGGTTCCTCCAAAACTGAACATGGCCGACCCGGGGAGCGAGCCGCAAGCTGCATTGGATGACTTACCCCAGGCAGGGTACGTACCTATACATGTACCCGTACCTGGTCTGCCGTAAAAACCATGAAGTCTGGCTCTCTTCTCGGCAATCCACTCAGTTATCAGTAGCGCATGAGTGATGGAACATGACTTTGTATAGCAAGGTTGGAAACCAACCTGCACCTCGCACTGGTGTACAAATGTGCACACGTAAACTCAGAACATGGGGCACAGCATGCAGATAATTTGAGGTCTCAGATCTGCGCAATACAGACCTTAATGTGTGAAAAGAAAAACAAATAAACATCAAAACAATCGACAACAACAAAAGTGGTCCAACACGGGGCAGCTGGGGATCCATGCTATTCAGCGTTCTCTGTTCATGGCCAACCTGACTGGTAGGTGAGTTGAAAGTAGTCCGCTGGCCTGCCCCAAACATTGATTCGTTTGGACTGAGGCTACCAACCTGCATAGGGGTACGTACATGAAAGGTATGCAAAAATGCAAAGGTACATGCAGTGATTCTCCTTGAGATTCTGAAACACAGGTCTCCTCCTCCGGTTGCAAATAAGCCAATCATGTACCCTTAGGAGCCGTGGACCTGAAAAACATGAGGGCCTATCCCCGCTCCTAGGCTGTGGAGTCTAGCTGTAAAGCTGATTGGACGACCAACCAACGCTTCCATCCCCAACATCCACAAAGCCTCAGAACTTTAAGTGGATTGGACAGAAGAAGTCTGAACTTGCTTTTTCCCACTACGATGGTCCAAAAACAAAAAGTCGGTCAAGTCCAGGAACCCAGGGAGTGAGAAGAGATTTCAGGTGGTTCCATGGTTCTTCGCCTGTCGGACACGCTCATCGGCCAGCCAGGCTGCATCCTGGCAAATCGGATTCCTCAACGCCCCTGCGAAATTTCCCCTTCGAACATCGCCCCGAAAGGAAACGCGGTGTAGCATCCGGCTATGACTCAGCTTTATGGAGCCCAAAATGGCACCCTAAGGTATATGGAACCAAAGGCACAAACCTGCCAACCCTGGCTACTTGATGTTGAGCCACACCCATTTCTGTCACACAGAGGTCATGATTGAAACCTCCGCTGTCCTTTCTGGAACCACTCCCCACGCGTGGAGACTTGTTTCAAACCACAAGGGAAAATATTCGGGTGCCTGTTACATGGTTTCCTTGTTAAACCCCGTCCAACTGCGGTCATGGGCTCGTCTCCAAAATTGTGGAATGATCTTCAGGGCACCTTCGACATCCTTCAGACACGCCCCTTGGAGCCTTAGGCTGTGACAAGTGCGAATCATGCAAAATGAGCCACAAGGAATATTTGGGTGTGTCTCAAAGGGAACCCCTCAAAGTGAGTGTGTGTGTGTGTGTGTGACCAAGCAAGGGATTCCCTAAAAACGACAAACCGATTTCTGGCCATGGTCAACATTCATCGCTGGACATGGGGTTAGGGAGAGTGGCCCCTGTATCCTGATGGCAATTTGGAGAGTCCTTCCCTCATGTTGACCCTGACTAATCACCTGCTCAGTAATTAATCAAGCTGAAGGAATCCACACTAAATAGGGACCCCCCTTAATAACACGTGTGTCGAGGGGCGGGGGGTAGAAATCAGGGGTCGACACTATTGACCGCTGCTCCAATGCCTCACTGTCATAGGTGTCCGTTGTGCAAAAATAGATGGATTTCCCTGGTAGATGATTGAGCCAGCAGGTAAAACAGGAATCGCCCTCTGCTTTTTAAGCAAAATCAACCAAACGGGACGCCTATGCTCGCTGTCAACAAACTCCCAGAAGTTCCTGGCCAACCTTCTATTACACACGCTACCCCCGGCTCCCACCCCGCACCCGGCTCCCACCCGGAGGCCTCAAGGTAGATAGTAAGTAGTTTACAACTATGGCTATAAGGACAAATCGCAATTGCTCCAGGACTCCAGTTACAATCATTGTCATGACTTACTTCCCACACCAGGGTAAAAGTATTTGGCATCATTCCCCTTATGTCAGAAAGGGCAAGCCAAAACGGGGGGCTGGACTTGATTCCTGCCCCCCGTTCCCCTCCCCAGTTCCCTCCCCTCCTCTCCCCTCCTCTCCCCTCCCCCCTCTCCCCTCCCCAGTTCCCTCCCCACCCACCCAGCACCCCACCAGCACCCCACCACCTCCTCTCCCCTCTCCCCCCCCCCTAAAAAATGGAGAAAGTAGGGGGCCTGGGGGGTGGTCTGTTGATGGTCCCCTGTTATGTTTTTTATATTCATCTCAAACCTATTAACCACCTTATTCGTTTTTAAAAGAGGGTTTTTAGGGAGCTTATTTATCGTTTTCGTTAAGGTAATCATTTTGGTAATTGCCCCCCTTGTTCATTGTTGGGCTGGGGGCCGACATTTTTTTCATTTGAAAGAGTTGACCCTTTTAGTAGTTATCAATTTGTGGGGTGTTGGTGGTGCATTTGTTTTGTTAGTGTGTTTCTCACTAATTTTCATTTATAGGTTAAAAGTTCAGTATAATTATAACATATAAGATTTTGCATGTTATTATTATATTATGATTATAATTTCAGTTCAGGATAATAATTTAATTGATTTGTCTTACTTCTTTCATACATCATTTTAAAAATAATATTAATATCTCTCAATGTATTTTGAACATTAAACTTTTTACTTTCAATAAATAATTTGATATTTTGTTTAACATCTTCTCCTTTCTCTTGACTATAACCCAACATCCATAATATATCATAAATCATGTCATATTTTTTCTTACTGATTTTAAGAAACTGTTTAACATAATCGTAAGGTGGTATTTTATTTACAGTTAGAAATATTAAAATATCATCTTTTACATTTCTATTATGTCTTTCTTTTATTCTCAACAGACATTTGATTAAAAATTGATTATCTCTCCATTCCTGACAATTTTCACATTCGTCTTTTTCATCCATTGAATAATTAATAATATTATTCACTATTTCATTAGGCAAATTCAATTTATACAATTCCATATTTTCTTTTTTGAAGTGACAACAATCATAGCATTTTGTATCGATATAATTTTTGATTCCATCACCGTTCATTTTTCTCTTAATATATAAGGTAATATTTATTTAAGTAGTGTTGGCTAGGGGGTTGCTGGTCGGCTGGTCTGGGTTTCAGGTTTAATTTAAATGTCTTAACCTTCTTGATAGATTATAAAACAATGTTTAATCATATTATAATTAAATATTATGAATAAACAAACATCATATTTCATAATTATTAATTGTATGGATTTCAAATTTGATAAAGTCTATCATCACAAGTGGTCTATTGACTAATCTTATTGTACCCTTTATTTCTTTCACCATCTTTTCTATTGTGATTAGGAGTTCTTCTTTACTTTTCAAGGTATATTGATTGGATGGCATATTACATTTTCCAATAACTGAATCATCATTAAGTTTTACTCTAACATGCATTTTAATCTTTATTTCATCGCTATATCTTATTAGGCTCATAAACTTTTCTGTGGGTTAAACGCGTAAGAAAACGCCTTATCGCCTTTTAACTTTTTGTTGTGTATCTCGTGGTTATACGTTGTAATTGACTTTTCTGGAGTTTTACGTCGGCTGACTACATCATTACTAATAGAAGGTTTCCATGTCCTTTGTAATTCTCTTAAAGCATCACATTGTTTCAGTCTTCGCCACCCTTCACTACCATTAATGTAAGTAGTGATGATTGAAACTAAACCGTCAGGTAAGCTAGCATAATTCTCAACCATAAAATTATTCTCTGACATTTTACCCTCACTCATTTTTCTCTTTATATATAAGGTTTTTTCTCTTTAAGTAGTTTTGGCTAGGGGTTGCTGGTCGGCTGGTCTGGGTTTCAGGTTTAATTTGAACGTCTTAACCTTGTTGATAGATTATAAAAACTAGGTTTAATCATATTATAATTGAATAATATCATTAAACTAAATCACTCACGCTTTCCATTCACCTATTCCATCCCACCAGAATTCAATAATTCGCATCTGTCCATCTACTAGACTGTCTTCTTTGTTTAGTTTCCGTATCGCTCCTGATAAGATATAGTGGTTAATAATCATTGCATTAAACTTTCCATCACGGTTTAACTTTTTACCACAGTCTTTTATGATGTCTTCATCTGTTAGGTTTTCATACATTTCTTTCATGATGTCAAACCTAACAAATGAGTATATCGTCATCAAGTTTAATCCGCTATTATCCCTAAACCTGCTAATGACATCTTTCCAGAATTCTTCGTTTTCATCAACTGGTGGCAAAGGGTGTCTTTTGATGAAATCCTTTATTTTGTTTAACTCTTCATCTAATTCCTTTTTATAACTGTCATTATCATCATCTTCTTCGTCTGATAGCACCAAGTTTGATAAGTCAGCAATCACTCCGACATTTTCTAAATTCAAGTCCTCTAATCTTATTTCAGTCATATTTTCACTTAATATAATAAGTTAATATTTCTTTAAGTAGTTTTTATTTTATGTTAAGGGGCGGGGTTTATGTTGATAATTTGTTTCTAACAATTTAATATAATGGCGAGATTAACAAAACACCAAATAATCAGCAACATCTATTACGACTTAGACGAGGGTTTCGGAAGCACACAAGCGACACACAAGAAGGCAAAGGAAGAAGACCCAACAATAACATTAGACGATGTAAAGTCTTTCTTAAAGAAACAACCAAATAAACAAATCAAAAATTATAGCGGTACTAATTCCTATACCGCTCCATTCGCGCGATATGAATATCAAATAGACATAATGCATATGTCACCTTTAGCAAAAGACAAGATCGTTCCACAGTATGCTTTAGTCGTGATTGACATCTTCAGTAAATTAGCTGATGTAATACCGATGGAGGAAAGAGACGGAGAGCACGTTTTGAAGGCGTTGAGAACAAGCTTTAAAAAGATGGGTTATCCGATGTCCGTGTATTCTGATGACGACGGAGCGTTTGCAACTAAAAATCAAGTTCAGGATTTCTTCAACAGTGAAGGAATAAACCACATCGTCACGAAGACCCACGCAAATGTGGCCGAGCGTTTTATTAGAACGATGAAAAACAAAATTCACGATAGAGTTAGGTTTAACAACATGAAATGGACCGATGCCCTAACGCAAGCATTGAAACAGTATAACAGCACATCTCACTCATCAACAAGGATGGCACCGTCTGAAGCACACAAGGACGACAATGAAATAAATGTAAAGGTCAATCTTAAACTACGAGAAAAAAACAAAAGAAAGTATCCCAAAATAGAGGAGAACGACAAGGTAAACGTGTTTCAAAAGAAAAGGGGTAATTACACCGACAGAACGGAGTATAACTCTAAATGGTCTAATAAAATATTCAATATCGATAAAATTGAATATGATATTATGGGTAATAAAACTTACAAAGTAGCAGGAATAAACAAACCGCTTTTGAGACACAAAATTTTGTTGGTTAATGATTAAACGTATTTCTTGGTGTCTTCTTTATACTTGACTTGATAGTAATCCAGACTTGATTGTTTAGGTTCTTTTATGACTTTTTCATTCAGTTTTTTTAACATAAATGTTTCGTTTATTTTTGTATTCGCTACTGTCTCTATCTACTTATTTTGCTTGATAATTGCTATTGTTATTATATGTAGGTTTAATATTCATGCTCTTTAAGATGTTCAGTATGTTTTCATTTTGCTCCAACACTTTTTCTAATCTTGCAAACAACAACTCTAAACTACTGTCAATGTTCGCTAAATGTTCCTCCATATATACTAAATTATAAAACTAAACTTTTAAAACTAAATGTTGCAATTATGTTAAATCTACTCTTTAAATACTATTTTTTTCATTATTTGTTTAACAGTTTC